AATATATGCACATTGAGGTGGTCTGGGCTGGCAGTTTATCCTTAATCTCTCCCCCCCCTCCCCACCGTGACAATAAGAACACTTTATCCGTCCACCAACCGCCATAGTTTATTTATTTCATTACCATATAAATGTAAAGGCCTGACGAGAATTTATCGAAAACAAACTTATGTTCGCCAATTTATCTTCTGAAAGTAAAATAGTTGGTGAAAATAAGGGACGCTAAAGGCCTCTAAATGCATGCTAATTTACAATGCCTGCCGCTACATCGGAACATAAACACCTACACTCAGTGGTGGCTTCGGATGGAGGAGTACGCGTGTTTGTTGGTTCACTGTTAAAAAAGTTTGGATAAGGATTCCTCGTGGGGTCTTCGAAAGGTCCTTATGTATTATAACCACTTACTTAAAAAATTAAGTAGGTGGAATTACCCACAAATTTCCAGTTTTCTTCATGCCGGCAGAAGACCCGATAGGAATTGGATGAAAGCATTGAACTACAGAACTACAGCTGCAAGTGTAAATGACCAGTAAAATTCTGAGCCATGTTACTAATGTGAATGTAAATTAACCACGGTTAAGTAGCACATGGGTGTTTAGAGCGTCAGACTTTTGATCAAAAGTTCGCGAGTTTGAACATCGGGTGGAGCACCACTTGGAGCTGGGTATGACTGGTAAATGACAACTGCTGAGTCAGAAATAACCATTTCAATCTCCCCATGTCTTTGCCGGCAATGCTATCTGCCTACAATTGTGGCTCTTTGATGCTCCTTGATGGGATTTAAAATATGCTTGTGGTTTGCACTTGCCTTCTCCCACTGGTCTGTTCGACACTTTGAACCAGGCGATAAAAGACAGAACTTGCACAATAATATGATATAATTTTTTGCTCGCTATTTTTCCTTTGAAAACAAGCTGTGTGCCTACAGGTCCAAAGCGCTAGCTTCCGATACAGACACACACATTCACTCTTCGTCTTACCTTACCCTACAAATCTTATTGTACAGGAAAGGACGTGTGAGCACCGATACAGTCATGCAGATCGTTGAAAAGCTGAGCAGCATTTACAATAAACGCACGTCTGACTTCCAAGCTATGGAACCCGACCACACGGAGAGAGAATCGGTGCAGAAAGTTTTGGAAATATTGAAGACGACGCTGGCAGGACTCGGATTGCCTGCTGAGGCGGAGGAGGGGGATCAAGAGGAGATCACCGAAGATGCATTAGGCAAGGTAGGACTCTCCTCCAAACCGCGCTGTCATATACTGTAAACAGGATGATAACTAAGACAGGCTTAACTTTTAACTTTTTGAGCAATCGTTATTTGTGTCATTTTTACTGATTGCGAAGCTACAGAAGCCAGGATAAACGTTCCAGGAAAGTTGATCGTTCATTATAAACAATGGGGAATGAGGAAGCTAAGCAGAATGGAAGCTTGTGCGGAGGGGAGTTTAAACACTTTCCATACTAAGAAAGGGTCCTTTATGGGCCTGGAAGGAAGGAACTAAGTTTTCAGAGGCAGCTGCTGTAACTGTAATTGCCCAGCTAGCGAATCACTCTAAGCTGAGTCTGGCAATCGAAAACACCATTACACCCCAAAGTACGTTTTCCCGCTGTTCAATTTCCTTATTTCTTATCACCTACCGCAGAAATAGTGTATTTGTTTAAATTATGGACAAAGCAACTTAACTTTGAGATGATACTATGTGGTTGACCTAAAATGTCGGTCTGTTCTAAAAATATTTGACGGTACGCAACATATTGCATGCACGTGCAAAAACTATGTTCGTAGTTTGTTGCCAGTATGTTGCTTTGAAGATTAAAATCACTGCTGAGAAAAACTAGCTTGAAGAAGACTACAGGCAAGACCTTTATGCCGGGAGACCGTTGTTTGTTTTTATAGGGACAAAAGTATTCATTTCCCGAATATAATCTTATTTAATTCAGACGGACGTTGGTTTTTACAAGGTAACGATAGTTTATACGTAGCGACAAAATATTCTAAAGACTCACAGTTTTATTTTTCTGGAATAATGATAAAAGGAAAGCTTGTACTTTCTCGTGTAGAGGTAGAATATCCCTCAAACCACACTCATGAACAGGAACCGGACGTTATAAATAAGGAAAAGTTACTTTAATACTACTACATTTCTGTTGTACCTAGGTATCTATGTATGTAATATGTTAGTTGTACCAATAAACTTTCTTTTTATTAGTTGTAACCACTGATTTCAAGTAGAATGGATGATTAATTTTATTGCTTGTAGGTGCATTTAAAAAACATTTTTACAATCGTCCGCATATTACCGATTTGTGGGGATGGCTTATACTATGGTGATACTTATAACCTATCCTCACTGTTAAAAATCCCCAAAAAGCTAAATTCTCTCCATTTCTATTCTTAGGGCTATAATAGCGAAGGTTCATTGATATCAAGGAGGTATATATTCTTCTTACTTCCTGCAGCGCTGGCCAAAACTCGTAGAGTGCCGACGAAAATCCTATCTTTTGTTTCGGAGTTTAAAAAACTAAAGTTTTTGGTTTGCCTATTTTGCAACGCTAATTGGGACAATTCCGTAACTGTTTATCTAACATAAGGCAGTTATTATCAGCACTAAAGGTGTCGCATTAGGAACCGAACTTACAACGCTAATGATTCAACTTGCATCCATTCCCGATTACATTTTCACTAGTTCGCATATAATCTTTCTGACACATGGGCGATTGATAGTAATCTGTACAATTCTTTGGACTGCTTTATCTACCACTCCAGATTTGACCCAGGGATCTTCCAACCATAGAAAAAAGATAAAGATGCGAATCCGTAATATATTATTCATCAAGTTTCCGTTGTATTTATTAGCGTATATATAACAAATATAACAAATTAGCATGAAATATAACAAAAAACATGCTTGGAAGATTATCCTAAGTAAAATTTGGTTATCATTTTGCAAACTGAAACGTTAAAACAAAAAATACTGTGAAATTATTCAGAATAAAGGAGGCTTTTGATTACATCGTGGAACTATTAAATGTCTTATCTTGCGATGCACCGAAAAGCACTTGTCTAACTTCTTTTGGGCTTTTCTAGCCAGATATCCTCCGCAAGCCGAGCAGAAATTCGTGAGCCCCAGAGATTCCTTAACTTACTTCAAAAGCTCTACCGTTGATTTTTTCCATAAATTTAACTTTAAATTTACTAAGAACTATTTTCGACTAAAAAATGTATAACTCCAATTGAAATAGAATATAAATATAATAATGAATATACTTTAATATTCCATTATATTTGGTACGGTTAATTGCTTGCACAGACTGTTTAGCCTGCTTTATGCATCTCACCTGCTGACGTAGAGTGCAGTTCGCATAACTACGTCCGCGCAGTTCTTTTAATCCCAAAGCTGTGCTGGAGACTTTCGCAAAGATTCACCAAGCCGCATTTTTGTAATGAACACGATAGGGCTCTGAACTTCATTAAGATTTTTCCGATAACTCCTCTGGGTTTCCTTACCTATTGTAGACACCCGAGGAGCTTGCTGCGATGACTCCTGAGGAAGTAGAGGCGCTCAAGAACAAGGCGAAAGCTGAACGTATGCGTGCCAAGATTGAGGCGGCCATGGCAGCAAGAGTGAAGGCAGCTGCAGCTCGACGGCAGAAAGCTGAATCTAGCTCATCTTCATCCTCTTACTCGTCCGCTTCTCGGTCAGCCGCCTCCAGGGAATCCGGAGGCGTTAAATTCGAGGTCAGTGGTGGGCGGTTACACAGAAGGAGACGCCACCGGTCGTCCGAATCTTCTTCGTCTACTTCATCTGAAGCATACCTGGACACAGTAAACGAGGGTTTGGCTGCTGGCACGCATTCTAGGCGGCTGG